TTTTTAGAGCAAATTCTCTATTCAGTGCAATCTTCTGCTGTCTTCATGTGTTTAATGTCAGCTCTGGGTTCACATTCAGATGGATTGAACTGTGTAAAATATTGGTGAATCCACTGATCGGCCTCCATTTTCTTTAATTTTGGAAGATCGGTGATCAACCCATACTAAGATGTGATATCAATCCCATCAACTCCTGCAAAGATCTGAAAATAACCCCCTACCGATCCTAAAACATTTTTATTTATATTTGAGAGCAGTTTTCTTAGATGTTTGTTGTGTTTAACCAGGTAGCCAGTAGTGCTGCACGATGCCATTTTTTGGCACCGATACCTGGCTCTGCAGTATCGGCCGATACCATCTGCTTGAAATTGATGTGTGTGTGTATATATGAGAAACTGCATACTACTTTGAGGTAAAATAATTGCCATCATGGCTTTGTCAAGCTGCTGCCTACCTTTGTGAAGCAGGAAAAAGACTAATACAAAGTGAATCCAGTAGAACTTTTTATTGCCTACCTGGAATGGGTGAGAAGAGTTGAATAAACTTTTGGTTCTCAAAATGGCATCGGTGCCCTATTTGTTGGTTCTCACCGATACCGATGCCACCATTTTAGTGCTTAATCGGGTATCAGTACTGGTGTCAGTATCGGTGCAACACTAGAATTCTGCATTTTTCAGCAAGATAAGATTGAAATTCTGAAGGTGTTTTGTGATCCTCTAACAACTGGCACTCTAATTTATAAAAATAAATCTGCATGTCAATCTTTTAAAGTTGGGTAATCTGTGACCGGCCAGAAAGCGGCCATCGGTGCACCGCTAGGGGAAAATCTGTTTGATTCTCTTCAGTTTGTTGTTTAGCTGTTCTGTGTGTAGAATCCAGGAGTTTCCAAACTTTTCTTGGTGTTTCTTCCTGTCATTAAAAATAAAGTTTTCCCACCTCCCTCTGACCAGTCTTTGACAGCTAAACAAAGAAAATTCAAATGCACTAAAACATATTGTGATGAAATAAACTCCAAAGGTTAACAAAGTTTTAAATATAAGTTTTAAACATTTAGTTGCTTTGTTTAAAAAAATAAACAGAAATGAGCAGAGTTTTTATTCTTGGCAGGATGGATCGACTCAGTGGGCAACTGCAGATCTAGGAAGTGATGAGAGAAAGCAAAAGTTTTTACGGTTGATGGGGGCCACCAAGGTTTGTATACTTTCCCTGATCATGGATCTATGCTCCATGATAAAAGCAGGATACGTTTCTTCAGTTTGTCTCAGTCACCTGAAGCTGAGAGATAAAAGCTTGTGTTTTTTTGTTTTTGTTTTTTTTTTCTCCAGAAAGAACACACCGGTCGTCTGGTCATCGGTGACCACAAGTCGACGTCACACTTCCGCACTGGTGAGCTTCTTAGTAGCTTTGCAAACGGCTGAATGTTTGCAGCACCAGTGTGCTCCAAACTCACTGCCTGCAGTCACAGCGCCACGTCTGGATCCAAAACTTCTCTTTCCTCTGCAGGGCAGGAAGATAGGAGGATGAACGAGGAGCTGGAGATGCAGTATCAGCAGAGCATGGTGGGGAGACTGTCAGGCCGGGACCGGAGACACTGCGGTCTGGGTTTCAGCGAGGTGAGAACTGCGGTGGTTAATCCTCTAACAGATGCTGACATACCTTCATTAACGGTGCCCTGGGATGTTACATAAAAACTGAAAAAATTGACAAATTGTGAATTTTTCTTTCATATTTTTCATCTTTTCCTTTCATTCTTTCCATTGGGATATTTGCAAAGAGCTAAAGTGAGGCAGACAATTTACGTTTCTAGGTGTTCAAGTTGATATTCCTCCAAAAGAGCCTTGATTTAGGAAGGTTAAAAAAATGTAAAACCTTAAAGTTTGTAATCATGTATTGAGATGTTGTTTGTGTGATTAAAAAAGTCTGAAGTTTAAGAGGTGTGAATATTTAAGGCCGTTTAGCACCATCTAGTGTAATAATTATGAAACTGCAGGATTCCACCCCCCCCAAAAAAAAAAAAAAAAAAATCAGTCCCCCACCGGGTTGATGTTTGCCAGCAGTAAGCAGATAATCAGGAGGCAACAGTCAGAAAATATCAGACATGGTTCTTTCTGTAAAGAGAAGAAATTGAAAGATTTTTTTCTCTTGTCCTGTTTCCTCAGCCGGACCCGCAGCCTGAGCCGGTGGTCTCCCCGCCTGCAGATGGTCAGACAGAAGATGCTAAATCAGAGAAGCCCTCCGGTGAAAACCAGAACACAGAAACTCAGGATAAAGATTCCAGCCCAAAGGAGAAAACGTCTGAACGGGCCAAGCCCGACTCAGAAGGCCACACAGCAGAACGGAAACCAAACAACAAAATGGGTTTTGTGAAATCATCGTAGGATGAAGGAGGAGTTAGCTTTTCTATTCTCAAACTGGGTCAGTTTGATGCTTTTTTTTTTTTTTTTTGTCGGACTTCACAATCACAAGTTCTGCCATATTCATCATAAACCAATGGATAAATACGGGAGGCATCATGGGTGCATGATCTCAGAGGATTTCATTAAATGCTTGGAAAAATAACTTGTTTTTTTATGTAGCACGGAAATACTATGGATGGCAAACGACAGTGTTTTTATTTCACCTCAACATTTTTAAATGTCCTGTATCTGCCTAGAAAATACTGAATGAAATTAAATGGTATTTACATAGAAAAGACTTCTGTAATTTCTGGTTTGTTCTTTTTAAACCCAAAAGCTAAAATGTTTCCTGGTAAATGAAGCTTTTCACCTGCAAGAGAAACTGAATTAGTTTGATAAATGTGTGTGAATGCATTCTGTTAAGAGTGGAGAGGGATCTGCATGGATTTAGACAAATTGCAATCCATGGAAGAGTATTTTAAGTTTTATTAGCTTTTTAATTTAGTGATAACCTTCACAAAATAGATTATGTATGAGGGAGGATCTAAGCAGGGTGTCAGTTTAAAGAAAATTGCTTTGGCAGAATGTTAAAGAAGCATTTAGGGGAAAAAAATGCTATTGAAAGGCTTTTGTTTTGTTTTTTAGCATCATTTGGTTTAAGGTCTGGAGTTTCTGTACCAGGAGGTCCCTAAAGGTTCCTTCACACCATCAAGGTTTTAGAGCAGACTTCGGTAATCTCCCTGCATGCACCTCCCCTCTTATTTTAGTCAGTTTACTATGAATAAAAGCCACTAGTTACACAAATCCTTCAAAATGAATTAGCTCAGATAATCAGACAAATCTACTTTTTTTTTTTTTTTACTTTTTCAAAGTAATCAAATTGACCTTTTCATTTTCTCTGACACATTTCTTCTTGAACAACAATAATTTGTCATGTTTTTAGTCCAAACAAGTTTCTCACTGACTAAAATATGATTCATTGTTAAATAAAAGCAGTTTGGGACAAAAAAAAAGAATGAGATCTCCAGAGTGAACCTGGAATAAACAGGGACAGAAGTATTCAACTAGATGTTCAATAACAAAAAATTTTTTTCTCAAAAAAACAAAGAAGCTGGAGTGAGTGCTTCAAGAACCACCACACACAGACGTATGAAAGACATGGGTTTCTGCTGTCGCATTCCTTGTGTCAAGCCACTCTTGAACCACAGACAGCGTCAGAAGCGTCTTGCCTGGGCTAAAGAGAAACAGGACTGGACTGCTGGTGAGTGGTCCAAAGTCATGTTCTCTGATGAAAGTAAATTTTGCATTTCCTTTGGAAATCAAGGTCCCAGAGTCTGGAGGAAAAGAAGAGAGGCACTTCATCCACGTTGCTTGAAGTCCAGTGTAAAGTTTCCACAGTCAGTGATGGTTTGGGGTGCCATGTCATCTGCTGGTGTTGGTCCATTGTGTTTTCTGAGGTCCAGGGTCAACGCAGCCACATACCAGGAAGTTTTAGAGCACTTCATGCTTCCTGCAGCTGACCAACTTTTTGGAGATGCAGATTTCATTTTCCAACAGGACTTGGCACCTGCACACAGTGCCAAAGCTACCAGTACCTGGTTGAAGGACCATGGTATCCCTGTTCTTAATTGGCCAGCAAACTCTCCTGACCTTAACCCCATAGAAAATCTATGGGGTATTGTGAAGAAGAAGATGCAATGCACCAGACCCAACAATTCAGAAGAGCTAAAAGCCACTATTACAGCAACCTGGGCTATCATAACACCTGAGCAGTGCCACAGACTGATCGACTCCATGCCACGCCGCATTGCTGCAGTAATACAGGCCAAAGGAGGCCCAACTAAATACTGAGTGCTGTACATGCTCATACTTTTCATGTTCATACTTTTCAGTTGGCCAACATTTCTATAAATCCTTTGTTTTTATTGGTCTTCAGTAATATTCTAATTTTCTGATATGATGAATTTGAGATTTTCATTTGTTGTCATTTGTAATCATCAAAATTAAACAAAATAAACATCTGAAATATATGAGTTTGTATGTAATGTATGAATATAATATACAAGTTTCACTTTTTAAATGGAATTACTGAAATCAATCTACTTTTTCATGATATTCTAATTTTATGACCAGCACCTGTAAATTTGGTTTTCGTTTTTACTTAGATTTGTAAGAGAAGCTCAGTTGGGTCAAGAATGAAATGACTGACTTGACTGCCAGGAATTTTCTAGAAAACTGACTTGATTCAGAACGAAAGCAGGTTCTGCGTCTCTGCAGTGACCAGCCTTAAACATAGAATGTCGCATAACTATGGAATTGAAACAACTATAGGATAAACATATTTTAATGTTTTATTCTGTTTCCATATTTCTCCAGACTTGGTTTTGAGAAAATAATAAAATAAAGACTTTAGGGACTGTAAGAACCCTGTGAATAGATCAAAGTAACATTTTTTTCTTTTGATTTAAAAAAAAAAAAACTACAACCGACAAATTACCATAAACATAGAAACAAAGATGTGTTTGAATATTTCAATGTTTTTGGTTTGAATTTAGAATTCCAACAAGAGAAGAGAACCAGAAGAGAAAACATTCCCACTGCATCTGAGCGTGTCAATTCAGGCTTTTATTTTGAAAGTCCAGAACAAACAAGATCAAAAACAGGTTCAGTCATTTTATGATTTACAATAAAGTGTGCAACGTAAGTGCTGAAGCAATTATAAAATTATGATTTAAAAACCATGAGTACGGGGGAAATAAAAAACACTGAAAGATGTGTACTAAACCCAGAATGAAAGAAGGGATTTAAGGAAAGAATAAGTTACTCGGAGTTCGTCCTGCTTGGTGCTTTCAAAGAACGTCTGCAGAGTCGGTTCTGTGGATCAGTGCTGGGAAGCAGCTTTGGCTGAGGAGAGAAAAACAAAAAGTCTCAGTCTCTCTATCACATGAAGAATAAAGGCTGCTTTTATCACCACCAGTGGAATCAGGAAGAATCTGATCAATGTTTTCTTTGTTGCATTAAATGCTTCTGTCCGTCACGCCTCTCTGTTCTCTTTACTGAACGCTCAACAGTACCGAAGAAGCAGCAGAGAAACACGATATTCTGCAGCAGTATTCCATTTTCCCCCCATCCTATAATATTACTGCCTGAAGGCTATAAAGAAGTTCAGTTTTGGACATGTTGATGGTTTGTGGTTGACCTTTAGCTTTTAGCAATAGCTTTCGTCTCACTATCAAAGTCTAAACCTGAGGAGAGCTTCATCCTCTTCATTCACCAGATTATCTAAGCTGAGCTGGGGATTTCTGCAGCTCCTCCAGAGTCGACATGACGCTTCTTGGTTGCTTCTCTAATTAACGCTCCACAAGTTCTCGTAGATGATGGATTGATAAATGTTCCGTTTTCCTCGGCCTCCATGATGATTGTTCTCTAATGCTACCTGAGGCCAACCTAGAACATCAGGATTTATAATTAGGCTAAATCTAACATTGAAACTATGTAAAAATGAAGAGACCTTTAAGGTCAGCGATTGTGTTGGAATTTTATCTAAAAAAAAAGCAAACCACACTTTTCAGATATCAGATACTTTTCTATGATTCTGTAATTGTGTGGGTCAATACCATAAAATCCAGGATAGCTTTTGCCAAACACTGCTTTCGTTTCATTTTGATGCCCCCACAGACACACATGCCTTTTCCAAAGCTGGTTTACATGCAGTCAGTGGGTGACGCGCAACAAGGTGCATCAAAATGTCCTGCAGCCCATCCTGACACGTCTGGTGCAGCGCCTCTGAGTATCTGAGATGCCTAACGAGCTTCACAAGCAGGAGATGGTGAAGTAGGAAAAACTGAACTTTTGCTGCTCAATGCGCTGCATCAACCAATCATAGAAGCTGATCTGGGAGCTGACAGGGAGACAGACACAGCACTGCTGATGCAGAACGCCATGATCTCTCCTCTGAAACACTTTAAAGCCTAAATTAACTTAAAATGTCGAAACCTGCCGGCAAAATATGTTTGATTTTATTATTATTGTGCATGCAGTTTGCAACCCATACTTGAAAAACGCTAACATCTACTTCCAGACGCCACGAAAAGTAGCGGAAAGGTGCCCCAACTGCTGCTTGGATGATCGCCCACAGCGGTATGTGGGTGAAATAATATTTTAAGGCAGGATCGTAATCTTGAACTGACTGCACAGACGATGATTTCAGCTGGACTTTCTCACTTAAAAATATATTAAAACTACTTTTTAACCATTGATCACAGCAAATATAGCAACGCCTCAAGAGCATCAAACATTCTCTTCAGGCTGGTCTGACCTTAATGTGTATAAGAATCAAAAATTAAGCTTCAGCCGTTTTTTTTGCTGCCCATAGCTCATCCAGTGTGAATGTAGTATGAGTAACTATTTAACTGACCGACCTGCAACCAGTTTGCTCTTGCGTGAAGCCTCTGATGCCAGCGCATAGGAGACGCTCATGATCCTCTTCTGCTGCTGCATAGCAGAGTCCAGCTCGCTGAAATCTACAGATGCTGACGGCTGGATGTTCTGAACACTGAGGAAAAACACAAGGGTTCTTTAATAAAATCAGCCTCATCTTAAGGTTCAGGTTAGTCATGCAGGATGAGGATACCTGGACTTGGTGAGAAGGTTCTTGATGCGCTCAGCCCGGCGGGAGCGTTCCTCCTGCTCCTCTGGACTGAGAGGCTCGTCCGGATCGGACTCTACGTATCGTTCTGGGATGAAAACTTTGTCTGGTTTAGAAAGCTGCACGATATAGAGAAGAGAGATTTTTACATCTGCCAAACAGACGGTTAATAGGATATAGAAAAAAGATGAATATATTTTCTCTCCTAATAACCAAAAGCAAACCAATGTTTGGAATAAATTTATTTACAGCTCTACTGAATCCGTTGGAATCCATGTGAATTAAGGGCTTCTGATGGAGCATTTGGTTGTTGTTTTTTTCAGTTAAATGACAAACAGGATGTTCTTTTTCCGGGTGGATCATCAAAATAAGTGGTCCTCCTAATTGTCAATCATTCTGGTGATATGATTACGTAATGCCGTCCTACGTGCTCGTCTCCATCTTCCCTTACCGGATATGAGTCTGACATAGTAGGAAAATTGCAAATCTGCTTTTGGCAAGTAAATTTGTATGATCAATCTTTAAAACAGAGTGTACACGAGGAGAAATGGGCTCGTGCATCTTTTCGCATACGTATGCATTCCCTCTCAGGAGCAGCAACACGGTTGTGCATGTGCTTTTTTTATTTTTATTTTTTAAGTGGAGAGGGCAGGTCTTTAAAAAAAAAAAAAATCACAAAAATTCTCCACTATAACTTAACGTAAATGTGAGCGATTTTACCAGACTACACATGTTGTGTAGCGGCCATCTTCTGACCCAGATTGTTCCCTCCTTTTCAAAGCAGTTTAACTTCAGTTCATCAGTTAAATAAATAGGTTCGATCGAACCATTCCAGAAGCTTCCATCAGCCTCCGTCACATTTTTCAAAACAAGCTCCAATGTTTCCGTTTTCCCTTAATAATGTTTGCCTCAAACTTTGACTCACGATGAAAGGAAATCAGTTAGGATGTTCAGGAATCAATGCCACCATGGCCTATCATTGTTTCATGTTCACAGGAGACACAGATGGAGGCGTTTGGCTACAGTGACGGGGAAATGATTGGAGGAGTCGTCAAAAAGCTGTCAAACCTAAGAAAGCAACTGTTAAACACGGTGTGGGAGGCGTCATGCTGTCATGTTGCTGACAGTAAAATACTCTTTCAATACATCCACCTCCAGATTCCTTAGTTTCCCAGAAGTCTACATGCAGAGATGAGCCTGGTTCAGCTATCAGCTAACAGCAGGGCTAATTAGCATTTTTCTAACTTCTAAAAGCATTAGTGGGCTACTTAACTTCCGCTTAATCAGGGAAGATTGTTACTTTCCGTCATCAGCATGAAGAGTGTTAGTTTTCCTGAGGGCTTTCTACTCATTATGCAACATGCATCCTTCCACATAGACTTATAGCTTTAATTCTGCAGCTTTTTGCAGCTCTGAGGTCGCTTCTAGGGCGGCAGTTCAGAGATAACCTGTAACGATTATCTGACAGTGACCACACAGGAGAACCATGCACAATAAAACAGGAACCACTACAACTTATGCCATTTCAGAAATAATGGCAGTGACTGAATGCTGCTGATAAACAGAGATTATTGAATCAATTCTTTTTAGGGATAGTCGGCCCTATCTGCTCTGATCAGAGCAAACAAACCGCAACACAAAGCTTCAACCACGGCTGCAAACTGGTGCTGCTTTTGTTATGCACCTGTGAGATCTGTTATCATAGTTCTATGTTTGGAGATTGATGAATAATTAGAGCAGGAAGAAAAATCATATTTCTACAGATGATTAAAAAAACAAAATTTTTCTTCCTGCTGGGTTATTTCTTTATGCGCTCAATAATTAAGTACGTTTTGCCAAAAAGATTCTCATTCAGGTTTGATTAAAGATATTTAAAAATAGAAATAACTCTAAATCACTTAACTATTTACTGGTAAAGACGTTTAACTGTAGGGCTAAAAAGTTCATCCTGCAGTCAAACAGCTGATTTTGTTTGCTTATATTTAGGAGGCAGATTTATTTCTGAAATAAAGCTGAGATGTTTAAACATTTCTGTAAACTAGCATCCAAAGGTTGGATTCTTTATCCCCCAATAATTTGTTTAAATGTCTCCGGAAGCAAAGACTGAAGGCCAACGCTGATCTGGGGCATGCTGATAACGCTGCTTATTGTCATCTGTCCATGGTGATTTGGTAGCAAACGGTGATCGTACAATTTGGACACATCAGTCAAACCAAAAATGATTAAATTCAGGTAGAACATTGTGATGACAGAGATCCTACAGAGGAGGAAGAGGACCTATAAATACTGTTTTAATTTAAAAGCGTGTATGTTAGCTACTCTCCCCATGAATACTGAATGTTTTATGTCTGCAGTTTTAATACCATAAGGCCCCTAATATACAACAATCCATGACTCCATGCTCCTTCTCTGCTCTCTTGCTTTTTTTGCTCCTGTAGATTCTCTCCTCCTTCCCTGTGGATCCGTTTCTGAGGCTCATGTCAACTTTGGTCTCTAAGTGAGGAACCGACAAGAGAAAATAAACTGCCTTTGATTGGCTACTTTACAGTAGATAATTATTACCTATTTAGGTATTAAGCAAGATTAGTTTATTGTTAGTTTATCCGATTTTCTGTGAACGTCTGGCAGAATTCTGTCAGTCCTTTTAGCTTTGGGAGCGAGCATTAGTGCAATAAATAATGTGCAATCACTATGTCATACCGTGTGCAATAACTACAGGTGCTGGTCATAAAATTAGAATATCATGAAAAAGTAGATTGATTTCAGTAATTCCATTTAAAAAGTGAAACTTGTATATTATATTCATACATTACATACAAACTCATATATTTCAGATGTTTATTTTGTTTAATTTTGATGATTACAAATGACAACAAATGAAAATCTCAAATTCATCATATCAGAAAATTAGAATATTACTGAAGACCAATAAAAACAAAGGATTTATAGAAATGTTGGCCAACTGAAAAGTATGAACATGAAAAGTATGAGCATGTACAGCACTCAGTATTTAGTTGGGCCTCCTTTGGCCTGTATTACTGCAGCAATGCGGCGTGGCATGGAGTCGATCAGTCTGTGGCACTGCTCAGGTGTTATGATAGCCCAGGTTGCTGTAATAGTGGCTTTTAGCTCTTCTGAATTGTTGGGTCTGGTGTATTGCATCTTCTTCTTCACAATACCCCATAGATTTTCTATGGGGTTAAGGTCAGGAGAGTTTGCTGGCCAATTAAGAACAGGGATACCATGGTCCTTCAACCAGGTACTGGTAGCTTTGTCACTGTGTGCAGGTGCCAAGTCCTGTTGGAAAATGAAATCTGCATCTCCAAAAAGTTGGTCAGCTGCAGGAAGCATGAAGTGCTCTAAAACTTCCTGGTATGTGGCTGCGTTGACCCTGGACCTCAGAAAACACAATGGACCAACACCAGCAGATGACATGGCACCCCAAACCATCACTGACTGTGGAAACTTTACACTGGACTTCAAGCAACGTGGATGAAGTGCCTCTCTTCTTTTCCTCCAGACTCTGGGACCTTGATTTCCAAAGGAAATGCAAAATTTACTTTCATCAGAGAACATGACTTTGGACCACTCACCAGCAGTCCAGTCCTGTTTCTCTTTAGCCCAGGCAAGACGCTTCTGACGCTGTCTGTGGTTCAAGAGTGGCTTGACACAAGGAATGCGACAGCAGAAACCCATGTCTTTCATACGTCTGTGTGTGGTGGTTCTTGAAGCACTCACTCCAGCTGCAGTCCACTCTTTGTGAATCTCCCCCACATTTTTGAATGGGTTTTGTTTCACAATCCTCTCCAGGGTGCGGTTATCTCTCTTGCTTGTACACTTTTTTCGACCACATCTTTTCCTTCCCTTCGCCTCTCTATTAATGTGCTTGGACACTGAGCTCTGTGAACAGCCAGCCTCTTTAGCGATGACCTTTTGTGTCTTGCCCTCCTTGTGCAAGGTGTCGATGGTCGTCTTTTGGACAACTGTCAAGTCAGCAGTCTTCCCCATGATTGTGTAGCCTATAGAACTAGACTGAAAGACCATTTAAAGGCTTTTGCAGGTGGTTTGAGTTAATTAGCTGATTAGAGTGTGGCACCAGGGGCCATCAATTTTGAACCTTTTCACAATATTCTAATTTTCTGATATGATGAATTTGAGATTTTCATTTGTTGTCATTTGTAATCATCAAAATTAAACAAAATAAACATCTGAAATATATGAGTTTGTATGTAATGTATGAATATAATATACAAGTTTCACTTTTTAAATGGAGTTACTGAAATCAATCTACTTTTTCATGATATTCTAATTTTATGACCAGCACCTGTATATAAAAAAATCAATAAAGTCTATCTTATCTTAGCATCTGCTATTTTCTTGATCAGTTTATCACGCTGTTTAATGCCTTAAAGTGGGGCCGAGTTGTGTACTTCAACTGGAAAATGATCTAAAACACTTATTACTGCTTTTAGAAATGAATAAACCTGTGAAAATTCAATCTCAATATAAAAAAAACTAAAAAAAACTATGGTTAAAATATGTGGTCTAATATCAGAGGGAAATCTTCCCAGACGCTTGCTGACAGCAAACAGATCGTGCTTAGGGACGTGTGACCAACATTAGTGGAAGTGTTTATGTTTCAGGCCCCAATAATTTTTTCCCTATGAGGATTTGAGTAAATCCAGAATAAACTCAAACATGCGTATAGAGATTTTACTGTCTGTATTCATACTAGTTGGATTTCTTATAACCATTGGAGCTTGAAAAAGGATGATTTGTTCTTTCAAAGCCAAAACGAATCATATCTTCTTATACATGAGTGCCAGTGTCTGCATCTGTGCATCTTTCTCTCTAAACACCTTGAAGCTGTCCTGCTAATCTGACCCAGAGCCTAAATAGAGACTGCCTGGTGTACCTCTCGGCTGATATCCAGGTCATAGTCCAGGGATTCCAAGTCCTCCTCTTGTACACGCCTGGCTGTGACCGTCAACCATTCATCCGACTGCCTCCTTCCACTCTCTTTGACTCGATTCAGTCCTTCGTCGCTCTGACCTTCTGCTCTGGGTCGTTCCTCCTGCCAGTCAAACACCTGGAGATATGAAAGAGTCACAGTTACACAACCAGGAGGTGAAAAACGCTGGGAAAATATGTTTGCCTACAGTATTATAAATTTAGAGGAAAAAGAACAAAAAAAACCACAAAATAACTTGGGAAACATAAATGGACTTAGCTCCTAATTCTGGGCGGTTTAAGCAGCTTGGATCAGTTTAATAGATTAAATAAGGACATTTAGAGAAAACAACTGAGACAATATATTGGTTAAGAAACTTTTTAGCATCCCTGTTTGAAGTTTTACAGAAAAAGCAGCCTTTTTGTTAAATTATTCAAATCAATCCGATATTTTCATTTGTTTGCAGAAGGTAGCTGCTGTTAACTAGTTTTTAGAAATGTTTGAGTGAAGATCTAATTACTGAGAAAATGCTGACAGTGCAATGGTAATAAAAGGTTCCAAAGTTTCCCCAATCCAAAGCTTTTCTGTGATCCTGTGACAGGTTGCTATGTGGAGTCTAAATAACCAGGGAGGGGTCTTAGCATTTCACATATAAGGGATCAGGAAATGCTTAAAACAGGTCTAAGGACGTGGTATATAATGAAAGAAGTCAAAGCACTGATCCCCAGGCTGAGAGAGACAACTACTGTATGACTTTAGCCTTTTAGTGCACCCTTCTCTACATTGCAAACTAAGACATCTACTAAGAAGCACAATATGTGTGTGTGTGTGTTGCTGAGTGGTACTTTTGAGGAATCATCCAAGGAGCATCAAAGCCATGCATGCATCCTTTCCTCTCCAGCAGCCTGCAGAGTCTGATCTGTCTGTCGAAGTGCTCGCATGCTCAGAGAAACGCTGCGTCTCATGCCTCGGTGTGCTCAGGAAGACCAGTCTCTCTCTCACACACACAAACACACGCAGAGAGAGACAGAGAAAACCATGCACACGTTCCCTCACAACCCCCCACCGGATTAAGAAGAAAACAGCCAGGAGGAGCTTCAGAAGCAAGAAACTCTTTATTGAAGTGCAAATCTCTACATGATAGAAAAGAAAGCAGAGAAAAAAAGTTGTGCATTTCTTCTTTAATTACACAGAATTAGGCGGCGATCAGCATTTCGCCCGTTTCATCTCCCTAATGAATTAAACCGTTGCTCTGTTCGATCTGACACACTGTGCTGGGGGGGTAGAAAGCTTCATGGAGGGGAGACTTTAGGCAAACAAGGAGTGGACATCAGTGGTACAGAGTGGAGATCTAATATCTTCTGCCCAACTAGAGACAGACAAACATTTTGCTACATGTGTGAATAATTGATCCTCCATGACAGATCTGTCCACTCCTTGCTCAACACTTTCAGTGGTGTCCAGATTGATTGGCACCCCTGGTAACGACGTGTCGAAAGAAACTCCCCAACACTATTATTGCAGTTGCATTATTTCAAACTGAAGAAATGTTGAGGAAGCTTTGATCAGAGCTTTCTTACAGCCTCTGGCTACCAGCCTGGATGAGAAGCCATATTTATGTCGCTATTTTCTGGTCACAGAGTCTCCATGTTTACCTTTAGATGGAATCAATAGGGAGAGATTTCTTTTCTTAAACTGTTGAGTGACCTTAACATGCTTTGGTTGGATCAATAAAAACACAGTGGATCAGGAAAAAAAGGAACAAATCAGGTCTTATGATGATCAGACAGGAAGCAGTGAAGTAAAGGGTGTCCGATTTGGAAAATCAAAAACTTCTGTTTAAGAAGTTGTATAAGAGCGTGTGGAGTTGGTCGCAAGGTGTTTTATTTGGAGGTAAATCATTGCTCATCAGCAGCAACTCCAGATGTTTTAGGTGTGAAACTAAGCATAACGGTGGTGTAGTCCTGTGCTGCTAGGCTCATAGGAATCTGGTTGGAATAGATCAGTTCCTGATTTTAAAAGCAAAACTGGTGGACTCTATCAGCAAACTGGACATCTATGGGATAAATATCCAACATCTGTTTAAGAAAACAAAGAAATGATTCAACAGATCAAAAGTCAGTCCTGTTACTCTCGGTCATTGGTACGAGAAGAGGCAGCGCTGATTCTGTAAAAGCTGATTCTCTTTAAACCATTTTTTTCCCCCCTCGCGCTTACAGCTTAAATTATAGCAATTAAACATATTAGCATAGTTTACCAGGGGTTTCAATCAATGTGGAGGGCACTATTTCTTTATTGCAATGCAGCCCAGCTCCTCCATCCTGCCCTATTTACTCATGATGCATAAAACAACACAGCATAGGCCACTTAAAAGTTCTCCAATCTGAGCTTTTCACATCTAAAGTCTCTGTTATTGTTATGTAGTCAGAGAACAAATAAAAGAACCTCAGAGATCAAACAAAACAAGGCTGTTTGAATGAAAGCGTTAGTTCAAAGGAAGTAAAAACCAGTTAATGCTGGTGGAGAACAGAGCGAAATAAAAAATACTCTGCTGACATCAGAGGTGAAAAAAAGTAAAACCATAACTTATATATATATATATATATATATATATATATATATATATATATATATATATATATATATATATATATAGATATAAAAATATGTATTGCTTATTATGACAGTAAAAACACAATGGTGCCTTAGAAAAGTTTTCACACGCCACGGATTTAAAAGTAACAAAGTGTGTTTTGATGGGACTTTATCTGATAGGCCAACACAGAGTAAAGTTTGACATTAAAGCAGACAGGAATGAAATATGTTTTTAATTTATATTAAAAAAATCTGAAAAATATTTAGTTTTTTTACTACATACAAAACTACTTTACATTTTAACATTCATATCAAAACAGGAGGATAACAACTGAAATCAAATACTACATTTTTTCTTACTGTTAATAATAATAATAATCATGAAATATTTCAATACTTTCAATTTATTCTGGGGCCATTTTTCCATTTCCTGTTTTTGATCTGGACTGGAACTGAAATGATTAAAACAAGGTCTTTTTGTTGTTGGTTTAAGATAAAATAAAAATAAATATCAGTAAGGTTGGTTCCTTTTACATTTTTGATTAATTGCATTTAGATTCCCAAAGCATCTGCTGTTCACAGACTGTTTTTATCTGCTCTGACTGAACCTAAGCCATTTAGCACAAAAAGTCAAACTTTTTATTCAGAGGCTTGATCTTATTAAGACAAACAAAACACTCGCAGCTCTATTGACTCTATTGAATACTTGTCTGCCACACTTTTCAGACTTTAGGTTGTTCTAAACCAATTAAGAGCTTTTTTGTGTTGATCTGTCACATGAAATCCCTATTATTATTTAGCTAATTTTGTTTCATTATTGTTGCCATCAATAAAAAAATACTTTTTAAAAATTTAAATAAAAAAAAAGCTATATAAAAAATTAAACTTTGAAAAATATCTTAATCTTAAAGAACCAAATTTTTTTGGAGTACCTTCACAGTATTCTGTTTTTACTTTATTTCCTCAATTTCTTTTATTTATTTATTTATTTATTTATTTATTTATTTATTCTTATCAAATTTTAGATTTTCAAATTGATTAAACATTTGTTTTCCAGTTTGAGTTTAACACAGAAGAGAGATATTTGAAGAAAAAAAAGAAGATATTCCAAAAAAATCTATTTTGAAATGTGAAAATAGAAAATTACGTTTAAAAAATAACATTTGAAGGAAAAAAGAAAACATAAGTAAACAGCAAAGTTTCTTTTTTCCTTTTTTTGAATAAGAACTTTATCAAAGTTTAATATTTGAATTATATTTTTCTTTTTTTTAAATTTCCAAATAATTTGCTTGCAACAATAATGGGACATGTACACGGCGTACAGTAACATGTTAAAGTCTGTGCTTGTAACCTGGCTGAATGAGTTCATTTTTAAAGGGTGTGAATACTTTTGCAAAGCACCTCAAATCCCTACTAAGCTCACAGCTGGCTGGTCTGGAGCCACTTTACCAACCTGGCAGTTTTAGATGCTCATCCTAAGTCTATGAGAGGAGTAGTTTATTTATTTGATGAAAGCATATTAGCATAGCTAGCATACCACATTGAAACCGAAGGGCAGTGTTAGCCATAAGCTAGGTTCATTTCAGCTTCTAGATTAATAGCAGCAGCGTCCCTTCGTCTCCCTGACAGGTCCTACAGGTGGCTCTAACTTCATTCCTATGCGAGTCTGAAAAGTGTTAAATCAGTCTTTCGTGATTCCACCTTACATTATGGTAACAGACATAAATTCAGGACAAAAGGCAAAATGATCGTCAATAAACCAAGGCACTTAGATTTGATTTGAGGAAAGGAAAGCAGGGAGGTGCGGTCATGATTTGTGCCACTAGTGTTGCACCTGACGATTTGGGTTTTCACTCTTTTTCACTCTATATATAAGCTCTATATACCAAATCTATATAAAATAGAACTGTACAACTGTATACTGAAAATATCCCTCGGGTAATAAATAAAAGTACACGCACAGAGCATGTAGATGTACAGATAAATGGGCTCTTCTCTCTACTTTTCTGTGATTAAATGGAGAAAAGAAGTGAAAGCAACACTTTACGCTTCTTTCTCTTCTTTATGTGTTTACATTCAGAGTTGTGTCAGTGAGGTCCCACGGAGGGAGGGGGGGTTAGTGGTAATTAAACTATCCTAAACCCCTGAAACGTTAAAAAAAGGAATAAATAAGGAGCCAGTCTGTCCGTCTCCAATCCTAACGCCCCTCGTTGGCCTCAGATGCTTTTGTCTCCCGACATTTCTAGAGCAGTAACCAAGCTAGCCTGCCGGCTCAAGTCAGTGACGCTTCTCAGCTTGTTAGTGTGAGACCAAAAACAATCACTGGTGAAACAAGCAGGAGAGCTAGGAAGTTAGCAGTTCTTCTAGGTTATTATGTGGCTGGAGGCTGGAGAGTAGCATAGCAGTACTGAGGGTGAGGCTGGTGCTCCCTGTGTCTGCTGCCGCGCTGCAGGGAGGGGTAACGTACGGAGGGGGGAGGATCGGAGGGGCTGGAGGAGGGCAGCCTGGAGGAGGACGACGAGCGCTGCGATGAGGAGGAGCGGTCGCCGTGGCTGAGGTTCCTCTTGCGCTCCCGAACCAGCGCCCTCTGGTGGCGCTTCATGCGCTCCAGCTGCTCCTCAGCAGTCATCCGGCCTCGGGGCTGGCCTCCAGGGAGCTGGCCGCCCTCCGTAGGCGACGAAAGACGCTCAAAAGCACTCTTGGGCCTGTCCTGAGGAGAGAGAGGGGAGACACAACACAACAGGGAAGGGGGGGTAAATATTCCTAAAAATGTTCTACTTTAAAGCTTTGTCACAGTTTACTGTGTTTTTATTTTGGAAATGTATCAACTTAAAACTACCAAACTTTAAAATCGGTAAAGCTTGGTTTATGCTTGACACGTCTTCAGGGTCCGCGTGGACAAATTATGTCATTCTGGGCTTCCAAGCCCGTCTGCATAGTTACAAATTACAAACGAGGGTTCACAAATGTAAACATCTAAAGACATCGTCAGTATGAAGCTACCATCCATGATGATGCTGGTACACTGCTAACCAGATGGTGGCAGCAATGCACCCTATAGATGTTTGCCAACTGCAATTAAATGAGAAGACAAGGAAGATAACAAAAACAAAACTAGTAAATTTGTGATTAGTACTTTTATTTTTGCAAAGTTGTACCTCATTTCCTGCCAGTGGGTTTCGACATAATTTACTGTGTTTAGTTATTCTCATGGGACAACAAACATCCTGTTAAACAGGCCTTACTCTGAAGACTTAACTTTGTATTATAGTAAAATGTTTTGATTAAAAAAAAACAAAATAAACTGACCTTTGGTGCAGAGCTTCCAGGAGCTCTCCTCAGGGTGACGTAGGACGAGATGGAGTCAGACTGCTCCATCCCGGATGTGTTTCCTGTCAAACGTTGTTGATAACGACAGAACAGCCACCAATAGTTTTAGTGCACAAAGAGTAAAAACACAGTATATAGATATATAATAAAAGATCTGATCACAACACAAGCCATTTATATCCCATTAACTCTGACAGTTTGTCATGTTACTGGCATAAACATCACTATCATTCATATTATTGGACACTTCAGCATGAAATTGTGCATATCTGTAAAAGAAGGAAAAATAACGTGTTTTTTTTTTTTTCTAAACAAAATCCAAAGTACTGTAGGTATTTATATTCATCCCGGTTGACTAACCCTGTGTCACACTAATAGCCAGCAGGAGACTAAAGAATGGTGATGTTTTTATCCCAGCAGCAGGAAAACAAAGCAAACCACTAAAACTGACCTTAATGCATCAGAAAACTCCTGTCAAAATTTGGACCAAAACCACAGTAGAAACCCTTTATCTGTGGAAGGTTAAAGCTGATAGAGACATAATATCCATGCTACACCCATCTTTTCTTTCCCACAGCATGATGCCACCACCACCATGGGTCAGATAGGGAGGGGCTGCACAGGGTGATGTGCAGATTTTATTTTGCACCATATTTTTTATTTTTTAAACAAAAAGGAAAAAAAAAACATCCTAAACAAATGCCCTTCCATCTCCCAACTAAATGATAGTTTTTAATTAGCCAAGAGAAAATAAATGCTTTTAAATCAGATGTTTGTATTCGTCTGTGAAGCCATTAAACCCCTCATATACCTTTGCTTGGGTAATACTGGTAGTCGGCATCGGACCCTGTGATCTGGAGGCTGCTTCCTGGCAGTTGTGGTTCACTCAGGTAAGATCTCAAATCCGTCTAAAAAGAGATTAAAGAGGGTCTGAGAAGGTAACTCAACATACTAAATCCCCAAATCACAAGATTTTTATCCCTACATTAAGGAAATGTATCATTTCTATAAAAGTAAACTACTTGTTTCCACTTCAGAGAACCTGACATAATAAAATTAATGATGGCCTACCTTAGTATCTCCGTTGACAAGGTACTGGCCGTACTCCCTGTCCCGCTTCCTCTCGTCAGACTGCCGTTTAAGCCCTCGCACCGATGTGTGGCGGATGACTGACGCCTCTTTGGGGAGGGGGGGCACCACAGGGGGCGTTTCCTCGTAGTCATAGAGACGAGGGAGTGGTGGCCTGGGCGGGGCATCGTCCTCGGCCTGTAGGGAAATCAATGATGTAGACAACTTAGTAGAAGTCAACTGATACATATATAATTTTCTTTTAAAAAGGCCGGTGTTAATGATTCTGACATCAATCTAACTGAGGGTGATTCTTGGAGTCGATTTTTTTTCTTCCTCCTTTTACATGATACGTATAACACATGATAACAAATGTCAAGTATTAATTTAAACAAATCAAGAAATGTCTATTAAATCAAACAAAACATTAACAACTGACAGTAAATTATGGAGCTAAATTGAGGCCACAAATGTGTTCAAATAACAGAGGAAATGTTTTGAACTCATTTTAAGTTCAAGGCTGTTTTTTTTGTTTCAAAGTACTGGCCCCTGGGTTTGGGGGGCGAGGCTTAAACTGACAACTGACAGCTTAGGAGCCTGATAAAATATTTCTAGCCTTTTATGACTGAGGGAACTAAATATGTATTTAAATCATAATCAATAATTTTTCTTTATGTGATTCGTTTATAAAAAATAAATTCTTCAGTTCAAGTTATTTTTTTCCACTTTTCAATTTTTCTTTTCTTGGTTTGATTACATATTGCTTAGATTTAAATCTTTCCTTTCCAGTTTAAAAAATACTATTTGTTTTAAATCTTTTTGTTTGTTTGTTTAGAAAATAAATTATTTCAAATTATTTATTTTCAATTTTAACAAAATATGTTCAAGTTATTTATTTTCAATTTTAACAAAAAATGTTTCAGAATAAACTTTATGTCCCAAATGTAGCTCCATAGAGATGCAGGGAAGCAATGATGCATGCACAGATTGGCTAATACCGATATATTGGCCAAAAACATCCGCCGGCAGATCTATTGGTGTATCTCTGGATTTTACTGCACGTGAAGGTTTGTGGTGTAGATCTTCCTTAATTATTAAGACGGAGATAAATCAGAGCAGCAAAGGGACACTCACCCAGTTTGGCACGGTGCTGTCAGGCAAAGTGTGAGACAGCGTGTTGGAGATGGAGCTGCGAGGAGGAGGATGGACCTCTGCACTGAGTGAAGGCACTGCCTGGTCAGACACTGAAGGCACTAATCTCCTGTCTGCAGAGACAAATCAACACAGAAAAAACTAATTGTGTCACACCTCAACTTTTGCACCAGCATCTCAGCTTCTGCACAACGATATGAGAAGAGAGCTGGGAAAGGGACCCACTGGTCAAGTGAGACCAACGTCTAAAAGGTTCCCTGACGTCACTATATGACATACTGAAGTCTCTGCAACCATGAAACAGCTTTAATTCATGTGTATAAAAATATTGAACATCAAACATCTCTTTTCTTTTTTGCATTTGCTCTCCATCACAAAGGCTGTGTAATTTTTACTAAAGATAAACTGATTTATCTTTAGTAGGCCGATAATAATTATTGACATCAATCAAACCGCCACCGATTTTTGGGGGTTAATTCTTAAAGCGGATATTTATTTATTTATATGAAAAAACTTGACACAATAATAAAAAGTTACATGGCTTTATTTTTAAACAAAAAACAAACATTTATTAACAAATCAAACAAAACATTAAAAATGGAGGAAGTGGGTTTCAAGTGATTTCAAGGCATGGCTGCTGAGTTACTTATAAATCAGCGAGCAAAACCAGAAACTATAATATGGGCCATCAGAAGCCAGTCAAGTAGCTCTAATTCTTACACCACAAAGTTCACACAGAGACTAAACTTAACATTTGCGTAGGAAAAGTAGTATAAATATTACACATTTTTATTTCCTTTTACTATAAATATGTTAGCCTTTCAAAGATATTTTATCCTAGAGTTTTATGATTATATATTAAACATATATTTAAGTGATTATTTTTGAATATCTCGATGTTTCTATAAGTCTGCTGTTTTTAGTTTGTTTTGTCCTTAAATAACTTCCATTAAACACAGACACAGCCAGCTGTTTTTTACTGTCACCAGTTAAAACATCCTTTCCAGAATAGCATAAAATAGCGTAAAAAAAATTCAACTATACTGGATGTTTTGAAACAACCTAAAAACCTGAAATTGGTAGCTAGTATTCCAAAACACAATATTCATATGAAGAAAATATGAATTTATACTAAATAAAAAGCATTTCAGTGTTTTTCACACAGATTTCTTTTGTCTTTATAAACCAGTTAGTGTTTGTTAGACTAACTGAAGGAACAGAAATGACAATTCAGGAATGATTGATATATGAAAGGTTTGATTTGAGATATCTTTTTTAAAGCAAAACAGCATCAAAATGATAAAACAAATGGCAAAAAAATTTGAATATCCTCAGCTGTTTTTGTCTCTTGCAAACTGAAGCTTTTCCTCTGCTATTAATCACGCCTGACACTCGTCTCCATCCGCAATCACCCACCCCCCGCTGTTTTTTTAATTTTATTTTTTATGTGTTTTGACTGGGTCTCTGAAAACAGACCCATTATGAAGACAGACTCCCCCAATACTGAGCTGTCACAAGGCTAGCAGGAATTTGAAGTTTGGAGGCAGAGATCACAGCACCAGTAAACATTGCAAATAAAACTATGAGAAAGATAATCCGTTTTTTTTTCTTTTGCAAAACTTTGAAACTTTATGAAATTTCTTTGAAAACCTATTGCTTTAGAAGTGTGAACAGTATATATACATTCCTTATAGCATAATTCCTTCCACTGAATTGGGTAAAATAATATATAGTAACTAGGCATTGAATACTATTTAAGAGTTTAACATTTGGTGTAAATAGAAGTTAAAACTTTATTTCTTATTTTTTATTTGAATTATCACGGCACTAGTAGTTCATTTTTATGAACAGTAGGCCGACAGGAAAGTTTGTGATGCTGATTTTAGTTCAGATTTAATGTTAATATCTTTCTGATTAATTTATTAATTGTATTTAAGTCCCCTTCCTATTAAAAAATATGAACTCTTATGGATCAATTGAAAGGTAACAAAAGCTGCGTGGAGATGACTAATAAGAAAGAGTCATTTTTACAAAGCTCCACCTTTAGCTGGGGCTCAGTTTTAAAAAGTAACAACCATAGCAGAACCTTTTTTTTTTTTGTTTTGTTGCTTTTGTCTAACTTTGTCTTGGCTTTTGCATCGGAAATGAACCATTTTAGTTCTGTAGGATACTTTTGAGGGTTAAATTACGGAACTTGCACCCCTGAGTGCAAGATCTCTACCTTCATTAGAAGTTACAATGTCGTCTGCAAACAGATGCATCTCACCTGGATTTTGAATAGAGTCGACTGTTATCTTGTAGTTGGCTTTGCTGGCACTAAGCCCGCCCATGACGTCCTCGATCCTCCACAGCTCACGCTTTAGCGCAGCCTTTTCCTGCTGTGTTATAACACATACATGTAATCATTTCACTTACTTGACATTTTTCCAGTTTTTCTATATGTAGTCTTGATTTTTAAATAATGGACATGCATCAATAATCAAAAATAATATTTTGACTTCTTTGCACAATATAATGTGAGGCTTTGATTGAGAATGATAAAGTCTCACCTGAGACGTGTCACTATGGGTCATGTGTGTCTGCAGTGCCACCCTTAGCTGCTCCACTGATTGTTCCAGCTTGTTGTACTCTTCCCAAGCATGTGCCATTTCCTGCATAACCCAAACAAATATACATGCATGATTAATGGATTTTCTCATTTCACTTTTATACCAAACAAAGCTAAATTTATGACATAAAAAAGACATTAGTTTATTTATTTATCTACATTTTATAAATCTGGCAGAAGGAGCTACATCAGCCAGGTCTACTGTTATCGTTCAAGCACTGTCCATGTGTACCGTAGAAACGCGCGATATTTGAGCCCTGATGGTCACCAGGTCTTCCTGCAGCAGCCTCTGTTGGTAGGCGATCTTGTGGGCGTGGGCTGGCTGCTCCTGGTACTGCTCCATCTGCTGGTGGGACATGTCAAGTACTCTCTCCAGCTTGTCCTGGAACAGGGGGAAGGTTGAGAGGCATTAAGAATCAGGCACGTGCAGAGGGGGGGGCTAAGGGGGCTTGAGCACCTGCCCCTTTTGCTCCATGATCCCAATGTGCCCTTTTTTTTTTTTTTTTTTTTTTTTTTTTTTGACACATGTACTGAAATTATTATTATTATCTTTTTTTTTTGGCAAGAAAAACAATACAATAAGCCCTCCGGTCACATTGTTACCTTTGACCTTTTGCCGGTGACGACGCACTTGCCTCTCGCACAGTCAGATAAGGCGGCTAACTGCGGAGCTAAAGGTAGCGAACATTCCACATTACACTGTGGCCGCTGCTCATTTGGCCCTAAGCAAGATCAACCATGATCGGACGGATGGCTATGTCTTCAGTCTGCACCGCCTCTCCAATATCAACCTGAATAGAGATGTAAGTGAAACCAAATGAGCCCCATGGATGATGCAGTATTGTTTGATCTAAAACACTGTTTACTCTGTGCTTTTAGTCTTTTACATTGAAAATTATGTTTTTTAATTCACAAAAACTTTTCTGTAATGATTACAGAACAGTTTTTTTGTGAATTAAAAAACATAATTTTTTGGTGAAAATACTGGAGTAGGCTTCCTACTTGTCAGACAATGGAAAACTTTGAACGTTGTTTAATTTCTCTACTTTAGCAAAGAGTAGCGGTTTAAACGGAGGAAAGTATAGGATGCGGCGCGCCTTTCTCTGAAGAACTACTGAGCGGGAGGAGACAGCCAGGTGAGGAAAAGCTGTTCTTATCTATCGATTCAGTATTTTTATCATACAGACATTAGGCTGTTGTTCTTGTGCTATGAGCTAGCTGCTAGCTAATGACTTTGCTAGCAAAGCAAGATAACTAAAAAGCTTCCCTGTGTCGTTAATGATAGTAGGACATTCTTCAGTATTGCTTATGCAATAGGGGCACATCGCCCGTCAAAAACCTATCATCTCCATAATGGATATATGTCTGATTTTCTAATTTCCTTTGCTGCATGATGTACATTGCATTTATTCTAGCGTTAGGTAAATGTATCTTAAAGGAGAACTCATCCAGAACTACCATGATAGATATATGATAGATATAATGTATGAAGCTGGTGAAAACAAAACTGCGCAGCTTATGCAAGGAGGATCGGTTGTCAGACCTTCTTTTGTTGGCAATCGAGAAGGATGTGCCAATCATTCACAGTGAGGTTATTAAAATTTTTAAAGACATGGCTAACAGAAAACTGCTGCTGTGAACAAAAGAGAACAAAAATAGCAAAAATGCTTAAAAGTTGGAAATTTGTTTTTAAACAGTAAAATCACCATGACGGAAAATACGTTTTTGGATCATAATCTTGGATTTAGTTTGGGGGAAAAAGAAAGGCAAGAAACTGAAATAAATAAGACATTGACCTTCACTCAACACAGAAAAGATGAGACAATGAGGAAAAAAAGAAAAGAGAAACTGACAAGAAAAAACGAAGGGGAAAGATTGAAGAAAATGTATATAGGTACTTACAAAATACACTAAGACACAAACAGAGTAGGCTTTTCTCATGGTGACATGCATTAATAAAATGTTTGCTTTTGTTCTTTTTTTTTCTGCAGTTCCACGTTAAAGTTTGATGCAGCAGCTCTGCTTTTCTGAATGGACCGTCTTCATCTCCACTGTCAGTACAGCAAACCAGGCAGACATTCTTTTTTATAGATTACAGTACACTAAAAGGTTGCATTGTGCCCTTGTATGCATTTTTAACAGTTTAATTCTGTAAAGACAAAATATATCTGGTGGTCCAGCTCTGATTGACATCTTTGGCTAAATTGCAGGTTTGAATATTGTAATACTTTCCTATAAGAAAATAGACCTGCAGAAAGAAATTACTAATAAAATATTTTACATATGCATAGTTCTATGTTCTATGTAGAGATTTCCCTTAGCTTTGATTGTATCTCTCACAATTTTGTAATTTATCATTGTCCATTAAACTCTGAAAGCTATGTGACTTTGTTAATATTCTGTCCTAAAATGCGATAAGATGTGCCCTTTTTTTTTTTGAGCACCTGCCCCTTTAGTGGTCTCTGCACGGCCCTGTTAAGAATAATGAATAAATGAATAGGAATTTATTTCAGACAATTTTTTTGACAAAAAAAATTTATGAATCAACCAAATACACAGAAAAAAGACTAGTTAACATAAACCAAACGAGACAGCAATTTTCAAACTAACTAAATTCACCTGAACATAAACAGAAACAAAACCCTCCACCAAATAAACCTGTCTGTATATACAGCTCGAGAAATAACATTGATTAATGTAAATTGTAAATAAATTGCACTTAAATTAACTTATAGTCGTAGGGAAGCAGCCGTTCCAACCTTCACATTTCCCAAGTGTTGCCCGACTTTACACGAGTGAATAAAGTGAATGTGATTGGTTGGTTATCAAGGGGGCAGCATTGTTGTGGCGGAAGGTTTGCAAGCAAGTTTGGTTGTAGCCGGTTTGTCGGAAGCATCTTGCTAACCAGTTTAGTGCTAGTAGGTTCCTAATGGGAAATTCCATTGGGACCAAGTAGCAATAAATTGGTGACTTAGAAACGACACTGTCAAGGAATGCTATGGACAGCGGAAACATGCAAGAGGAGGAGAGTTTAGTGTCAGAGGTCATGGATGAGTCTCCTCTGTCATACATTTTTTATTTAGAGGAGGAAAGTGGGGTTGAAGATGTTTCAAAGAGGACGCCAGAGCGGCAAAAGCTTGGTTTAGTGTAGAAGGCTTAGAGCCGTACATGTTTGAGCCCTTGCCTCACAACCCTGCCAGTTCTGTTAGCTCTACGCCTGCCGAAGACACAGACGTCCATCCCCGTGAACACTGGGACGGAACTCAATGGGAAAGGAAATGGTTTTCATTTCAACCATTGCATATATTAGCTGCAACATATGAATCAAGATGCTATGACCGAAAAAATTTGATTGACAGATGATCGTTGATATATGATTGGCTGAATTTAGGTGAACAGGCTGACGTATAACTAACTGGCCTTCATAAGATAACGGAAAAAACACAGATTTTAAGACAGGATTTTTTTTTAAAATAGAAACTTTCCAACTTTTGGGATAATATCGTCTGATTAAGAGTACATTTACATACATGTTTAAGCCAGAATGAAATTTTGATATGACTTCCCTATGACTTTAAAGTTGAGTAACCTTCCTGTTAAACTTGTTTTTTGTTTAATATTACACACGCACACACACAAAAATATATGTTTATATATTTATATATATATATTAGGGGTGGAACGGTTCACCATATCCACTGTTCGGTTCGGTTCACGGTTTCGTGGTCACGGTTGTTGGTTCGGTTCGGTATATGTTGATTGTTACCCCGAAATCCCCTAAAAATTAATGAAAAAATCCCCAAAAATCTATGAATTGTAATTATATTTAATGATCCGCGGAAACCCTGGATAATTTCCGCATGTTTTGCTGCTTTGTATTTAATCATCTCGTGCATGCCCTCTACGATCTCCAAGGAACTCAGAGCGGAGCGGACGGGAGCCACAACGGAGGCTGTAGGCTTTGCTTTGCCCAGGCAGTCTGGTGCGCAGCAGAGCGGAGCGCTGACGGAGTATGAGGGATTTCAGGGTTAGCATGACATGTTGGTCATGTTGCTGTTAGCATAAACAAAACGTGTTGCACAATGCTTGCACACTGTTGCACTTTTATCCACCACTTTCTTTCCGCCGTCATCGTAGGTCACTCTAAATGCAATGCGGTCCCATACAGCAGACCTATAAAGCGCTGCTGGTGCGTCTTCCAACTCCTGTTCTTTCCCACTCGCCATTCCAACACAATTCTCCATAACAACTGATTTTTTTCTGCTACACCCGGCTAAGCTGCTTCGCTTCTTCTTCTTCTTGTTTACTACTGGTGGTTGGCTTTGGTCGCAGTAAAGCCACCTTCTGCTCTGGAGTGTAAACGCTTCGCCTATGAGAAAAAGGAGCAGCGCATGAACCGAACGAAACACACGTGAACCGACGGTTCGTCATAAACCGTTCCATCCGTTTTATATATATATATATACACACACACACACACACAATTATATATCATCATACATACAGTGGGCGCTGGTTGGAAATGGACACTTCACTCACGCTCCGCGTGTTTCACATATTGTGTGAAAAACATGTGACTGCTATAGCCACTAGGTGGCAGTCTGAGTCCATTTCGGCGTCCCATGAGTCAGATTAGATAGGTGAATGAGCAGACTGGGAGGGGTATGAGTTGTTGCGAGCTGAGAACATTATTGTTCCCCAGGTTTAGCGTAGAGGGTAAGGTGATTGGGCTGCAATTCCAAAGGTTAAGGGTTCGGTCCCAGCTGTGGTCAAGTTATTAATGTTGCCTTAAATGTTTTTCTTTTTTTTTTTATCACTTGATGGCCTATGATATCAGAAATTGTACAATAACTTCTTTAACTTATTTATATATATTACGGATAGTAGCCTATTATGCTGTTTGACTTTATGGCATCTTTCTTTTATTTAGATCAGCTGATGTGCGCTCCACCTTTCCAAGGAATTTCATTAGACCATAGGGATTATCATTCTACAGCCTCAATATCTTACTCTGATAATAATAGGCGTATTGTTATACTATTTTTGTTATTTTTATTATCATCTAGCTGGTAAAATTTTCAGTTTGATCTGGAAAAGGACGCTATGATGCCTTACAACAAGCATGAAAGGCCCAACCCCCCAGGCTTTTTGGGCACATTATGCAAGAATGCTGCTTGCTGCCGCGATGAATAGCGGCGTTTCTAAACTGTTGTCAGGGATGGTTGTGACCCACCCAAAAGTCAGTGAGCTAATCCGGAGTATTTCCATTTTAAATACAGTGAACCCTCGTTTATCGCGGAGGTTACGTTCCAAAAAGAACCCGCGATAGGTGAAATACGTGAAGTAGAAACCTTTTTTTTTTTTTTGAGTTATCATACGATA